GACCTTCAACCTCCCACCAGGGGTAAGAGCAATGGAGAGTGGAGCTGGAGAACACCCCATAGGGATTCCCCCAGGAGATGGGAGGTAAAGTCCTAGTAAACTCTTGCTCTTACAAGCAGCTCCTGCAGAAGCCCCTACATATTCACATGAAGAAAGCCGTGAAGATCTGGGCTCAGAGCTGTAACATACTGTAACCTCCGGGACTGAAAAGTTTGAGTGCCTGACAGGGGAGGGGTTGAGGTAGCTGGATTCAAGCCCTGCAGGAATAGTAAGGTGGGAACAAAATCAGGGGTATCTTACAGAACAGGGTGCTCATGCCTGGGCAGGACAGGGGTGGACAAGTGGGCCTTTCCCCGCAACCAAACACACTGCAGTTCAGTCATCCTGGCCTCCCACTTGACAGCCACAAATACACTCAAGACATGGAAAATGTTGCTTTTACACCATGCTTTCCTAACACAGCTGCATTCTATCTTAAATAAAACTCCCTAGACGCATTTAATCCAGTTGTCTGGGCAATGAGGGAACTAGATCAAAGCCCAAATTATGACAGCATTTCATTAACAAAACCAGGCCCCATTGCAACGAAAGTGCAACAACTCCTCACACAAAAGTAAACGTGCTTTCATCGCTGAAGCAGCTACCCCAACTGTTCCCGTCTCCTGAATCCCTCACATCTCGCACAGGATTACATTTCAAGCTCTTGCTGTTTAGTCTCCTTACACATGCGCTAATTGTAAACCTCTGCTGCGTTGGAGAGAAGATAATGCCGTGGACAGGGTAATGCAAACAGCTCAGCCCCATTACTTTTCCTCGGCATTAGCCACTGAATTCTGCTACAGGGCACAACACAGTACATTGAAGTGCATCTCTCCTCCCAGATTTCAAGCCAAATCCTAATCTTCCCGAAACCACTGGGTCTTTCCCTACCAGGATTTGGGCCTTCTAACAAAGTTTCCAAATGCTGTGAGATGCAAACGTTGACACAGGACTCATTTCAAGGTAGTAGAAGAATAGTTTTTGGGCTCTACAGCTATTCTGAGCAAGAGAAACAAGTAAGAAATGGATCCAATCCTTCCCTTTACAGCATCCAGCACACTCCATCATGCCCGCAATTGTGTGTCTATAAGCACAGAGCAAGGGGTCCCACTGCCACTTGAAAAGACCTACTCTAGAGATTTCCTTGGTCTCCAGATCTGGTTTTTATGTACAAAAACATCTACGCATGTTGAGATTAAAGGAGTTGGAACGGTCTCTTCTGTCTAGAGGGGCCTAGTACAATGAGCTCCAGACTGGGTTTACCAAGAACTAAATGGTAACATCTTGGGGTAAAACGGTCAAGAATTTTTTCCAAAAAAATAAAGGGGCATAGCTTTCATGAGTTAGAAACATATTACAACGGTCTTGTACATTAGAAAAATCTACTTGCTGTGGAAGCCCTCACAAAGACAGCACCACACTATGCACAAAGATCAAACACACAGGCAAAAAATAAAGAGGAAAAGGTTTCTTTACTCTTATCTTTGGTGTTCACCCCAACCCCAGCAGGTGAGTGATTAAGCCTGACTGAGTGATCAGGCCATCTCTCAGGATGCTTCTCCAGAACCGCGGCCTGATCGGGTATGACGAGGAATCACAGCTTGAAGAACCTCATGGCAGTAAGTTCAGCAGAAAGATTCCCTGCCACACTAACCAGCCAAACCTGGCACCTTAAACTACAGCCTTGCTGTCCGAAAGGGTGAAGGAGTGCAAGTAGCAGACGGCACAGGCAATCACAGTTTCTTCGGGGCTACGACAATCCCAGTCAGATCCACGTGGACAGACCCTTGTTGCGGGGCAGGTACAAGGCTCCACCCAGACTGGCCAAATGCAGCGACTCAGTGCAAGCAAGTGGCAGTCATGCTGTATTTGCAGGCACCTCTGTGCAGGCCGTTCTCTCTAATTACCTGCAGACTTAGCATGCAGTGTGAACAATGTTAACTGCCAGAAAGATTAAACTACTGTCTGGCAACAGCAATACATGGGGGACAGGAGGGGAGGATGAGGAGTGAGGCAGATGGCTGTAGGGTTGGTATGCCACAGCAGTAGCAAGCAGTGCGATAATGCTATGATTATTGTTCAATACCGACTCCGAAGACAGGCACAGCTCAGTACAGACTGGAGGCCAGGCACATTCATGTTCCAGACCTAGCTCCAACAACAAGCATGAGTCAAGGCCTTAACATCATATGACTGTGTGGGTGCCAAGTGCCTCTGAAAAAAATCAGGCCATTAACCACTTTAATTTAGCTCTCCCCATCAATTTTCCTATTGCAAAGCAGGGAAGATGAAAATTTGTACCTCATGGCACAAGGGTGTTGCTGGTAGGGGAACACTCGACTTACACCACTCCTTCATTTACGCTTGTAACCTCTAGAAGACTAAGTGAAAGAAAAAAAAGCATTTCCCCTCCCCTCAACCCCATGGTTCCTTAATTTTTATGACGTGTGCCGCTGTTTTCCATCACATAAGCGATTTCTCTATCTGTATGGGTCCTTCATGGGACAATGAGAGCAAAAAATTAAGACCTAGAGCCACTTAAGTGTAAAGCTGCAGAAAAAGGCAGGGAGCTCTGGGCAAGCACAATACCCACAGCAACTCTGAACCAATTTTAGATGGATCATAAACCAGCCAGACCTCAGGTTGGATGCACACCCTTCATTTGTACTAATTACATGCAATTATCCTAGCCCCAGGACAAGATGCCCAACACCTCACCCTCAACTTCCCACCCCTATGCCACCCACACCTGCTTTTCTTTGTGCTCTTACCTCATAAGACCACACACACTGCACTCCCGCGAATCTCCGCACACAGCGCCCCACTTCCACATCTTCATGGGTGGTATACATCTCTCGCAGGCACTCTCCGATATGAGGCACCATTCTGCGCAGCACTTCCCGGCTCATGATCACTCCTGGGCCCCCCATGCAGAAGTTCTCACCAGGCTCCAGAGCCAGTTTCCCCATCTCTTCAGTGGTGCCAAGCCCAGTCTGTCCAAGGAAGAGGGGCTCGCTGCTGTTCAGGCTCCGGAGAAAGTTCTCCAGTTTATCCCCTTTGATGTAAACGTCATCATCTGCCCTCATAAACCATTCGTATTTGTCCAAGTAGTGGTCGTGCATGTACTTCAGCATCATGAAGGATTTCTTCTGGGGAGGGTAGGAGTCATCCACACCTGGCAATGGCACTATCGGGATTGGAATGGAGGTGTCAGAGCCCTCGCTGGAGAAGAACTCAACTTTGCCGGGTATGGTGTTGGACCAGGTCCTGGATTTAAAAAGACAAACCACAAGCAAACCAGATGTGCTAGTTAAATATATAGACTTAGACAGCACACACCACAGTACAAACGAAACATGCAGAGAAGCAATGCAAGAGACCCATTAGCTTTAGCAGTTTTCTTTCCAGTTCTCTCCTAGTGACATCCTTCCACTATACCAGCAACAAAGAGTCATTGCATCACTGTACGTGTTGCATGAAGGTGAGAGTGCCACGGAGAACATGCAAAGTATCCTGACAGGACTTTGTCTGGGCCTTTAAAGCAGGTTGATGCTATTATCTGACTTGGTAATAGAAGAGGGATGGGGATTCTTAAAGTGCTCAATACTTGCCCCACTGACATCAATTGTCAGTCTCCCAGTAAAGCCGAGTTAGGTCAATGCTGATGATTCTTGAAAAAAATCCCACTTCTTTGTAAAAAAAACTATGCGAACATAAAGAGCACAGACCAGTCAGTGGCAGATGAGAAAACACCATGTGGGACAGCCCGAAATCCTGCCTGCGTGTTTAATCCTCTACCTTTTGTCCCCAGAAAGGTGACTCAAGTCATAATGAGTGATGGGGCAGGAAATGAAGAATAGATTTTTTAAAAATTAGCGACTGTAGGAGAGTTCAAGCACAACTGGCTTCAGGTTCTCAAAAGCTTCGCCGCAAGTTATTCAGCCCATGCTCCCCCTGCCCCTCCCAAGAAAGTCTGTGGGAACTCAGAAAGTTCAGAAGTGCCGACTCCTGCAGAACAAACAGATGACAAATTTCACATGAACTCGTGAAGAAGTCTGTGCCCCATGGGAGAGCTCCTGCAACTACCCTAACCAGGCTGTAGCATCCTCTACCCAGGAGCTGAAGAAATAGACTCCTGGAAAGCAGCTTTCCTTTTCTCTTGCAACAGCCTGAGAACCAGAAGGTAAGGGTGCTTCAAGCTTGCTTGTCCTGCCCAGCCAGAGATTCAAGGAAAAACAACCCCAGAGTATGGCAAAGGGCTACCAGGACTCCCAACCAACGGGCTCTTCTCAGTCACTATCGTGTTATGGCTCCAAACGTCACAAGCGGCCTCCACTCTATTTTATTCCGAGCTCTGGCACATTTTGCAAGCCCTGGCACCCAAGTGATTTAGGGTCCCAGGAGCTTACAGTGACTTCAGATACACAGCAGAAGAACTGAAATATGCAGTAAAGGATCCCAGAAGTAGAGGGGAGAGACAAGGAAAAGCCTAACGGCCCCCACTTGAGCTAAAAGAGGTTGTCAGCCCAGGAAGCAAAGAGCTGAAGCCATGGGATTCGAGTGCTTGAGCTAAAGCACCTTTTTGCTGGGATTTCTCGAAACCTCAAGGGGACTTAAGCTGGCTTTCCAGAGGGCTTGCTTGCCTAGGTCACCTCCAGAGCAGCAGCTGATTCACAACCCTCTTCTGAGGGCTAGCTGCAAAGCCAACAGCTCCTTGCTCTCCTAATGCAGGGGGTTACAGAGGGATGCACCCCAGCAGGCAAGATGGGGAGAGCTGCTCCAAACCTAAGAGGAAGTTTGAGAGAGGGCACAGAGACGGAGGAAGCGAGCCCAGCAAGAGAGGTATGGCCTATGCAATCAAAGCCGCTCTTATAGCCAGGAGAATTTTTATGCTGCTTAACACAAACAAGGGCCCCTAAAGACACAGCATCTGTTTTATGCCCTTTGGCAAAACCTGCCTGCCCCAGATGGACATGGGAAGCTGGCCTCTTTATACCACTTGGAAGAGGTGTAGAATGAGTCCATTTTAAGTCAGACTCAAGAAAACATCGTCTCTCCAGGGACAATTCTAAATTACATAGATATTAAAAGTTTGCACTCTTACTCCCAATCTGATGAAGTTTACACTATTGAGTATTGTTTTCTCCAATTTCTACTGACAAGAAGGACAGAGTGTGTATTCGATGTAGGAAGATGTGGAAAATACCTTTTAAAAATCGGCAACTGGAGAGGTTTTTCCTTCTCCTATATAAAGTAGAGTATTTTCTAGTTATGTTTGGTAGCTTTGTTCAGAATGTAATCTGCATTCAGAATCTGATGCGAAAACATTCCCGAGGTGTGAAAAAGAATAGTGTTCCTTAAATGCATCATTGCTATTTATACCAGGTGTTTCCAACCATAATTTTCAGACCAAAAATAGAGTCAGATATGATTGGGCCATATAAATCATCTTAAAATCTACAAAGCGAGCCAGTATGAGACCATCTATTTAAAAATATTCCTATGAATTAAACTAGAAGTTCCATTTAGAAAGCTTACAAGGTTATTTTAATGTTGATTACCCAAAGATTTGTGCAGTTGTAAAGTGAACAAATAGAACTACGAAACTGCTATATGCCAAGTTTGAAATAAATAAAACTGATCCTTTTAAAAACCATGCATCTTTACCATTTGAGTTTAGTACTGAAATATCCAATGTGTCTTAGCGAAGGCCCTGAATTACTAAGTTTCCCAACACCTGGTGAAGTCTATGGACAAAACTCCTGCTGACCATGATCAGAGAGGCAAGTAGGGCTTTTTAACTGCATCATTGATGACTAATGAGCAACACAATTGCTTATAAAAACTCTGTCCTGCTGCAGCGGGGAAACCAGACTGTTTTAAAGAAGACAGACCACACCTTTAGCCTTCACTATGTTTCTTTGTTCACTCCTAACCGCACCCAGGACATGGGTCTTTGTTCTGTTTTGGATGAAACACACATCTTTTTTCACACCAATTCCTGGTATTTTATCTACTATAAGCTTAAAAATTCATTTGCCAAATGCAGCAGCCTTCTGATTGACAGCTGATCAAAAGTATATTTTGACAACTTTAAAATTTAGCTAGAAAATCATGAGGGTAGGGGGGAGAAATAAGTGCTGAAAAACTCAATTCTCAAAAGCCTCCACTGTCATCTCTTCCCAAGGCTGCTTTCACACTGGAGAGACTCCTCTGTGTATATAGCTCCTAGCTGACATGCTGTAGTTGGTAACAGAAATAGCATAGTTGCAGGAATTTATTATGTTTAAAAGTGTTCTCCACCTTCAAATTCAGCTTTTTTTTAAAATCAGCACCTCAATAAGTACTGGCAGGAACTGGTTTCAGCTCAGTAACAGCCACATGTATCAGTAAGACTGGGTGGATGTGGCTTCTGGTGTTCAAATTTCAGTGGCCTGAAGCTATTTTAGCTTAAACCAGTGACACGTAGCCCTGAAAGGTCAGGAGATGCGCGAGCAGCCAGTGGTAACCAAAGAACGACAGTAATGTGTGCATCCTTAGACGAATTGTGGGCAACATGCTCTGGCTGTGCGAAGAAAAAAAAAAAAACCTCTACATGATACAGTTGTACATGTTGCATTATTCATGATTTCAAGAGATACACAATGCATACAGTACAAGAAGTGGCCTTTGATAATATTTTCTGACGAGACACACTTACAGCTTGGAAGCCATGATTTGAATCGGAATTTGTCCCAGACACTGGAATATGTCCTACTCGCTTGTGGTGAAATCACTGATCGGGTATCTATCCTTCATTTCGTACATCAATTAAATTCCTAAGACAAGAAGGCTTGGTCAAACTCAAAGAGATTGGCTTCCAGTGTACTTTAGACCCCTGCTATATGACTAAACTTTTTGACCTCTAGTCAAAAACACATTCAAGTCCCTATCAATGCAAAAAGTTTTTCCAAAAAAAAACAAAAAACCCACCTCTGGAAATACTCCATGTTTGCTGCTTATGTCAGAATGAATAGCTGATGACATAACAGACATAACTTGGGTCTCATATATCCACTTATTAAGACAGAAGTTAAGTGCAAGATATATATTTATTACATATGGGGCAGGGTGCAGAAAGAGTCAGAAACCTGCACTGAAAAGGTGAATCACAACTAGCGGTTGACAGACTTATCTAAATCAATGGAAGTAAGAATAAAAACTACAGAGGACTGAATTTTCATGCAAACAACTCTATGTTTTAATTTGGATTCACTGAAGAATCAGCTTCTAATCACATGTGAATAACCCAAGGTCAGCATTTTCATAGCCACATTTCCAGTTAACTGACCTGAGACTTCAGGAGTGGACTTGCTTGATGATAATCAGTTAGAAATGACATTCTGGCTTCAGTCACAAGGCTTTGCTCCTTCACCAGCTCTTCATGCCACGCGAGTAGACCAGGGGCAGGCAATTATTTTAGGCCACTTACTAAGTTTTGGGAAGCCATCGAGGGTTGCATGACAGGCAGCCAGGGACAGATAAATGTTAATTTTCTAAACTTTTTAGGGGCCCTGCGGGCTGGATAGAATGGCCTGGCAGGTTGCATCCGGCCCGTGGGCTGCGTTTTGCCCACCACTGGAGTAGACACTATCTGCCCAATTCCTGTATATTTTGCTTTCACTACTTACATAAGCAAGAACTGCTTACCATTTCTGCAGAACTGGTTATTCATTCTGGTAATAAAAAGCAACAAGGATATCACAGGAAAAACCCCAGACCCTGACCTCTCCCACACACTTAACTAAATGAGCATGACTGGGGAGTGCCAGTGTAGCACAGCATTTCCACACCACAAAGCTGCATTCAGGGTTAGAGGTTATCTATATTGCAGCCAATGTGCAACAATGCCCAGAGACATCCCAGGTACTGAAAGCACTTGTGTCTACTGAAGATCATTATTAACAAACCAGCAGCTAACAGAGGTCAGTCCAGTAACCCCTTCTCACATAAGCACTGTTTTCCCACTGACTTAAAAAAATGGGAGTACTTTTGCAGAACTTAGGATTTGAGGACTAAGTTTTGCCTTCTTCAGGTCCAGCGCGTTGAACTGCATGCTCTGGTTTCTCTCTGGGTGCCAGACGCACAATTCCCAAACAGCAGGAGTCACCAACAGAATTAAAGCAAAGTTGAAACAAAAAAGTTGGGCCCTCTAGTCCGAGCGTCTTGGTTTTAAAAGTGCATTGCAGCATGGTACAAGACTGTTATAACTTCATCAGTTAATTGTA